CCGACTGTTTCCGACTGTTTCCCGACTGTTTCCCGGCTGTTTCAGTTTGCAGCCTCGATTGACCGAAACTGTTGCAATCCCGACTGAACCCTTGGTTTTTGGTGTTACTTTCGACTACAGTATTTGTTTCCGCCATCCAACCTTGTGGTTTGCTCCCACTGCTTTTGCCTATTGCCCCAAGCTGTCTTCACAGCTTGGTTCCCACTGGTTTTGCTTGTATACGTCCAACGTTGCTGACATGGTTTCTTTTGTTTGCAATGTTGTCTCCTATGTCTACCGGATTCTCGTTCACCTGCGTTCAAACATGGGTTCCTTTATGTCAGATTGGTTTTAATAGTTGGGCCGCACAGCTGATGTGACTTTGTGGTCCAAAGTCTTTCTTGTTTGATTCTTTTCAACCAGTTTAATAGTGTTTCATCATGTAATCAGTCATACAATCATATTCTAGAGAGACCATGCCAACATTGATGACCTTTTGTTTGGTCTTTGTGCCAAACATGTTGTAAGGTTCCAAATGAAATGCTGGCGCTACACCAACAAATTGAACCTCACCCAGCGTCTTCAAAACTACACATTATTGCAAATCGCACTTGGCCCCAAGAATCCCAAACCTCGTGAAATTTGACAGATGGGGCTCCAGGGTGTAGCAAGCAGTCTGTTGTATAGGTTATATGGGTCACTTCCACCCTCTGAGAAAGTGGGTGTATTATGATGTATCCGACACTTTGATGCAGGTTTGGAAGGTCCAGCCATACCATCTGAGAACAGCTGGCTGTTTTTTTTGGGGGGGAAACTCATGGCGATTCCAGGACGATCTGGAGGAAGGTGGTTAAGTTAAGCAGGATCCGTGAAGGCTGCTGCGAGCTGTTTCGGGAGTGACGGGGGGGACCCAATGTTGTTTCACTCTCCCGCCAGACCTCTCTGGAACCCAATGTTGTTTTCTTTTTTTTTTTCTGAGAACAGCAGCTACTGCCAACAAGCTATGTGACTGGAAGATTTGATTTACCTACATTGATCCTTACAACATCTCCAAAAAAAACAATTAAAGTCCCAAACAAAGCATATATTTCCATGGTTTGTTTGGGTACCATACTGAAGCCCTAAGAACGACTGGTCAACAGCTCGTCAAAACACCGCGCGCGTGCGCGCGCCGTTGCAACCAAGTTCGAGAGGATCCACTGGCGCCGGGCTTCGCCTTCAACATCCCCTTCGGCGACGGAAACTGCCTGCTGCACCTGGGCCGACATTCCGTTGGGGCCGAGCAGAAACGGTCGGCGGTTGGGTACTTGAGCCATACTCGGTTCAGACACCCGTTTGGGCTCCGAGGCTCCTTCATGGAAGTCATGGAAGGTTTATGGACAGATTTGTCTCAAACTACCCGACAGACCTTCTCAAAACATCCGGCTAAGACCCACCCCCAGGTCGACTGAAAGGGCCACAGCACAGCGGATCACAGCGGCCTTGGTTGTGGCCATGCTCCAAAAGGTGGAGGAAGACCATTTGTTCGGATTTTTCAACGAATCCGGGCCCTTCTCCAAATGGAAAGGATTTGGTTCATGTCTACGCCCCCTCCGATGTCGGACCCCTGATACCCGGGCAAAGAGGTCGGGGGTCGCGAGGTGTTATGGCCCAGCACCACCCAGTTCGGGTGGTTTATAGACCCCCTGAAGATGTATTTTCCATCTAACCACACGAACTGGGTGGTGTTATGGTGTTGGAGATCTTTGGGATTTCTTTTGACCGACTCCCCCATTGTTACGCCCCTGCGACCGTCCATGTACGCTTGCGTAACGCATGCGCTGGTCGCCATTCGACCGAGTCGATGTCTGAGGAATGTCAAAAAAAAAATCAGAAATTCGCAAATGGGACACATGAACTTGGTCATGTTCGCGGGATTTTGTGGGTGTGTTCATTTTCCCTCGGGTATGGGCCAGGAGCCGGTGCTCGGCGCGCCGTTTCGTGTGAGGCTGGTGGACATCGACTTGGAGCAGCAGAAGGAATGGATCACAGGAGACGTCCAGCTTGTCAGGTGTTCTTCCCGATATCCAAACTGGCAGGTGCAGGAATTCCATGTTTGAACAGAGGAAAGACAGACATTGTGCTGTCCGACAAGCTAATTCACTGAAAATACATGGAAAAACCGGTCCCTCAAAACGGGATTGGTGAGAACCCCCATCCGACCCTTGAAAGGAGGGTCGATGAGTGGGTGTCAGGTTATTTCTATAGATACTCATCATGATTCACACTTCACCTCTGGTGACTGACCAAGCTTTGGGGGCAAAACTGGACTGGTGTGGTCGCCCCCACCCCTTCATCTGTACCCATGTGTCCTGGTCCGATCCTGGTCACCATTTTTTTTCTTCGGCGTTCGCGTCCCGAAACACCGAAGGCATCGGGGTGGAAAGAGCTTTCCGGTGATCACCGGACGCTGTGCCAAGTCGCCAAGTCATCTCAAGTCATGGAGTCAAATGTCTAAGTCGTCATGGATCTTCGCGAGGCGGTCCTTGGCGCGGACCTAGACTTCGCCCCGCCCCGCTGAGGAAAGATATTTTCTTAGTCTTCCAGGCTGCCATCCACTTCAAGTGATTGCTTTCAGGGCGTGTACATGGGTGTAATTACATCCCCGAAGGGAGGCGTGTATTGGGCTCAATTTCCTCAGTCGGAGCCAGGACTCGGGTCTCGACCACAGTAGGTCGCCTATACCCCCCCCCTATCTCCCAGCCAGGCGCCCTGCCGCTACGCCATGGGTCGGTTTCGCTGCCAGGAGAGGTGGATCGCAATGGCTTCCCAGTTCTGAGGCAGCCAGAGGCCATTGGGTGGAAATATTAAGATTCACCGCGCAAATGAGGGAGCAGGCCTTGTACTCCCCCTGGCCCCAAGGCCTGTTGGTTTTCTTTAGCGGGTGGATTCCAGCCCAAGACTTGATCTCAGATCTTGGAGTTTCTCCAAATGATCTGCCTCCCCCGTGCGCCGACCTCCACGTGTGCGGAATCACCCATGGACCCATGGAGAGGTGGAAGATGTCCTGAAGGTGGCCAAGTCCCGTGGCCTTGGTGCCAACTTGTTCCTTGGCACTGGAACAGGGCAGGCTCGGGCAGGCGGAGGTGGAGCTTTGGGGCCCCGAGGCCTCGGTCCCCTCGGGGTCCCCTCGGGGCAGCCCTGAAGTCCTGAAAACAAGGGTGCGTCCTGCTTTTCCCAGAATCTGGCTAGACTGGCTTTGGTGATTTGTCGCGTGTTAGTTTTTTTTCCCGTGGTGTTTGTTTCTGTTTGGGTCTATGCTGGAAATATTGTTGTGTTTTTTTGTATAGACTAACTTGAGGAATTTTTGGGTGATGTTGTGTGAGTTTGGTGTCCTTTCACCAGCTGGTCTTATGAATGCAGTCGTGCAAACCTGCTTTGCAGCTCTTGACTCACCTGAGCCGCTGAAGGTTCGCAGGCAAGCTGAGCACAAACTCATTGGTGCTAAAAGAAGGAAACCACCCCAAAAAAGCGCTTGGAACAAACTTAACTGGACTATGTCCTTGTTGGGGGGGTGGTGCCATTCCCCGATGAATTGAGGTCTGTGAAGCCGGGATCTGTTCGTTGGCTCACGCACTTCCGGATCAACTCGCGTCAGGCTTCGAAGCTGGTTGGGCGTGTGTGAGGTAGACGGATTCAGACGGTTTCCTTTTGACCTTCGGGCGCTGAAACCCCTTATGGAGGGTGGAAACACCACGGGTTGCCATGTTTCAGAAAGGACATGACATTGCTTGTGGCCAGCCGACTCTCACCCTTCGAACGAACTGATCTAGATTGATTTGTTACAATACTTCGGGCGCCCGATGTACGTTGTTAGTTGGCAGCACTTACTATGACCAGCGGCCTTTTAGTAACCATGATCATTGCGGTGGGGATAACATGCCAACAAACATATTTTCCTTGTGCCGTGTTTGCTAATGTGCTGCCCCCCTGATAATAAAGGAATACAAGCGTATACCTGTTGGTAGGCCGAAGCCACTCCTATCTGGATAGATATCATCATATATAGATCCCATCAGATCCCATCTCAGTGACCCTACCCACCGAGTAGATGTTCCAGTCTGACTAAGGACTTCGCAGCAGATCTCTTCAGAATTGATGCTACCCTTTGACCCTTTGTACAGTCAATTGTGTTCACAGACCATCCATGGGACTGGCATCGAACTCTTCCACCATCTTCCATCCACTGAGTGTCTGGGTATAGATAGACCCTATAAGTCCAGTCAGACCCTGTATTTTTTTAAAACCTCCAAACCAGTCCTGTTCCTGTTTTTTGGTATGACCAACTCCAGTAAAATGAGGTCAAACTGACTTGTAGGAAGATGTTTCGATGGCCTTGACCTGTTCGGCCGCGAAGACCAGGCGGAGTGCTATGGCCGTGGCCGTGTCTTCTTGGCCGGAGACGCCTGTCACTGCCACTCACCGCTGGGCGGACAAGGCGGCGCCGGCTGATGTGGGGGAGGATGGGGGAGGAGGGGGGTAGGGTGGAGACTGGAACCCGTCAAGAAGCTCCAGTCATACCGAAAACAAAAGTATATATAGTTGGGCCCCGTAAAGAAAGACTCCAGTCCCACCTTATCAGAAGGTATGACTGGAGCCCTATGGAAAGTGTTTGGGAAGATGGAACCAGGCTGGAAGACTTGGGGAAGTGGAATGGATTTGTTGTTTTTGTTGTTTCGTTTTCCGCGTTTAGGTGGAAAGTTTGGATCTGCTTGGATGCCCGAATCAGAACCGTTTTGGCTTTGTTAGGCTTTAGTGCTTGGTATGAACCACGTTGCAGACCCAGGGAGGTTGGGCATGCTGGACATGGGGCCGTTCGGGCCAAAAGCTACCCACGTGCAGATGAGGACATGTTCGCGTTCCCAGTGTATGAGAGCAGTGAGAGTGGCCCAGCGTGAAAGTGAAAACATGTGAAGAGTTTGGGATACCCTAGGCCCTAGGGTTCCTGGCCCATATCCTCAAGTTCGGTGGTACTCGACCCCCCTGGCACCCACCTGGCCCATCTTGTCAGGTAGTTGAAGCCCTAGGGGTCGACTCCTTCGCAATTCGCAATAGACCTTGAGAACTGTCTCAGACCTAGACCATCAGTCACATGGTTGTTTTTTTTTGGTACGGGCACCACGCACAACCCCATTGGTTCAAACCCCATAAATGGTTAACCATGGTTAATCTGTCTATACTGTGCGTAGTATATTCTTGCCAAACACAACCAGGTTCACTGGAGGGCACTATGGAGGCTCAAAGCTCCAAATCAATGCACCATAATGCACGATATCCCGTTGGTTTGCGTCTTCCACATATCGGGCTTGGCTGGGCTTGAGCTTATTTGAAAGTCCCATACTTTCATGCCACGGGGGGTTTTTGCCTCAGGGGGCCACGGAGTCAACGGTTGAGATTTGGATACATTGATGTCTGGATGATCTGGATGTCCATGGGACTGGCATATGGAATCCTGCGTTGACCCTGTTGAAAAGCCACCCCCATGATCATAATTAATGTGGGCTAATATGCCAGTCCCATGCATAAGAGTTGCCAAGCGTCGTTCTTTTTTGGCCTGTGGACTTACGTGGGCACCACAACGCAGCTGGTTGCTGTTGGGCAAGACGCTAGCGGTAGTCCCAGCTTGCCGTGCGCCACACCCGGAGTCCAAAGCACCTTGGCAGGTATGAATATGGGCTTTCAGGATGCCAAGAATTTGGCTTGGAAGTTGGTCTTGGCCATCAAATGTGTCTTGGACTGGCTGGAAGTGGGGGGCCAAATCAATCCCCCAAGAACTCGTCACGAAACAGAGCGTGGTTTGGGTCGAAATCGTCAAGGCATTGCTGTCCGAAGACCAGCTTCCCCCCAACCGCCGAAGTCCAGTTCGACAACGCCCAGATCCCTGGATGTTTCGCGGGATCATCCGACGGGTTTCGGTCGCCGAGGTGGTTGTGCACCGAAGGCTCCCGGCCTCCCCTCCTTTTCGAAGACTGGGGGCTACTGGGGTGGGTGATCTTGCCAGGGGTCGACCGTGCCCACCGAACCTGAGGAGGTGGGCCGTTTGGAGCCCCAACTAGGGTAGAGATGGGTAGAGTATATGGTTACTATAGGGCTCCAAGCACCTCCATTTCGAAGGTGGTTGGGGTGGGTGCCAGGGGGGGTCTAACCACCGAAGCTGAGGGTATGGGCCAGGAGCCCTATAGGGTTAAGTCATCTCTATTCAAATTCCTCCGAAACAGTTGTTCCGCCGTCGGTGGGGCCATCCCCTTCAGCGCCGGTCCCAGTCAGAGCAGTCTGACTTAGCCGAGTTGGGGCGTGGTTTGTGAAAGAGCCTGAATCACTGAGTGTGAGGTGTGAGGGCACCTCAATCACAACCCGTGGGTCGGCATGTAACCGCCCCGTTTATGGCTCGTAGGCCGATCATATGGGTCCCTGAAACCACTGGAACAAATAGGTCCTTGACACGACCCATGGGACTGCCATATATGCCGATCAATTGACCCCCAAAACCACCCCAACTGATCGGCATACATGGCAGTCCCATGGAGTGTCTGGGGGGGTTGTCACGGTGGTGTTTGATGGAAGAAACATCGTCAGGGGTCTACAAAACACATTTGGGTGGTGCTGGTTGTTTAATGTGGTGTTCTTGTTTGTTTTTTTTGCAGTAACCAAGCGGTGTGCACAAAAGCTTTTATATGTCCGAATTTGCACTTCCATCATTTGGCAACATTGTTGTGCAGTTGCTCAAGCATAGGGTGTTGGTTATTTGGGTTCCGGCTTAGTTCGTTGACAGTTTGTTCTTGGTGATCTTCACTGTTCGTTTTAACTGCCCAAACTGCCAGCTCTTTTGCCCAAACATCAGCGCAGACCCTCCGGTGAGATCGAGCGCATGTTCGAAGACGAGCTCTGACTCAGCCTGGAAACCTTCGAAGAAACCATCACCTGCAACTCTCAGACCCTTGGGGTGACCACGTCGCCACCCTCTGAGGTATGGGCTTACGTGTACGACATTGTTCTGTAACGGTGCCATTGCACGTCGGGTCCAGTCGGGTCCAGGACCTTCGTCTCTGTTTGTGACCTCTTTAGGGACGATTCGTGACCATATTCTAGGATCTCAAGTTAGGTCACTTTGAAGGTCCTGGTTGTTTATTGTTCTTCTTTGTGATGTCTTCCTCATGCAAAACAAGTATCTCGAGGTCGATTATCTCGAAGTGAGGTCGATCTACCAGGACCGGACCCAAGTTCGTTGCTTTCTGTACCCCCCTTAACCTCTAAGAGGCTATGGACATAGACATCCCAAACGGAGGGTCCCGGTACGATGTTGGTGGCCCAGACGCTCGGTTTCACCGCCCTACTTTCTCCCTGCAAAAGCCCCAGACTCCTCCAGTCCGGAGAGGTCCGTTGTTTTCAACCGAAACTTGGCCGCGTCTTGGCCGGTCGCGTCTTAGAGGTGATCAAAGGAGGGATCTCTCGCTGACCTGCCCTCTTGCTGCTTTTGCGTTTCTTTTTCACCCGAAACTGGTGTCTGACGTGACATACCCTTAACCTGATATGTGCCACGATTGGCTTCGAACACTTGCACAATTTAGTTAACAAGATGGAGACAAACCAGCAATTGCACAAGCAATAGCACCTTGGACAAAATGCTTTCTTGCCGCGCCACCAGCATACAGATGATTGGAGGCGATTTCAACTTAGAGCGTTCTGTCGCGCGCGGTGTTTTCGCGGGTGATATGCAAGTATGACGTATTGTTAAAGTATGACGTATTAGTTTATGAGCCAGATTGCTTGCCCCTAGGGCTCCAAGTACCTTCTGAGAAGGTGTTTGTGCTGGGGTTGGAGGGTCCAAGTGCCTTCTGAGGAGGCACTTGGAGCCCTAGGGTGCATGGATGCCAAATTGTCAAGCAAATTGCCTGGAACCTCGAGGCACCCTTGACACCCATCGATTCCGTTTAGCATTCTGGGTTGCTCGCGGAGACGACGGAAACGCAATTGAGGCGGAGGACCTACCACCAGCTTGCTGCAATCTTACGAAAGCTCCTCGGCTTCTCAGAAAGCACACCACGTGAGTACTGACCGGAGCCTTGCGAATCAGCAAACAAGGAGCGCAAGGAGTCATCAACGAATGAAGTACTTTGTGGATCTGTGTGGTTTCATGGCAGGTGGACTTGGCAGTTTGTGATAGTCTTCCTTGTTGGTGACACTGTGCATGAGTACTCACCACACAGGGATGTTGGTGGATACATGCCGCCCATGCTAGCCACTCGGAAACTTCCTGATGCAGAGGCACGTGTGTTAGTAGGTCTGCCTTCGAATTCTTCATGCGATTGGACATCAGCAGCGTTCTGATGGTAATCATGTTTGATCTACCCAACATAAGAAAATTAATCAGGGCACCCCACTGAGATGTATATCAATTTTTGTGATGATTATGATGATTATATATTAATTTCCTAAAACTGGGAAAATATTCAGGGGAGTACTCCTTTACGCCAGCCAGGTATTAATTGACATACCTGGAATTACACTAATTATTTTGGTGTGAACACTTGTGAATTGTTTAATTTTCGAATATTTTCTGTGCAAATAAAACATGGTGATAAACGTGTTTACCACCCATTGAGCCTAGATGAACCTAGATGAAGGTCAGTACTGCTCAAAACTGTTCTCAAATTAGATATCGTTCACCGGGAAAGGTGTGCGACAGTAGGAAAAAAGGCGTGTAGACAGTTTTTTGAGAAACTGTTTGTGGGAATCCTGCGTTTTCAGTTACTAATCATAGGGTGGTTGACATCAGATAACTTTTTTGAATACACACTTGCAGGTCACTCCTCAAGGTAGCCAAATTAAGTAACTCAGGACTTGGTTTGCTTACTGTAATTTGATTTTTTGGTTGATCCTCCACCTGCGCGTGTTTGCATTATTTTGAGGGCCCTCCCTCTTTATTTGAACAAACGCATAATCCCGGAGGTACTCCACACCGTCCTCTACCTAATGCAGGGCAGATGATTTTTCACACACCTGGAAGGAAGCTCGCAAGAACATATTGCAGGTTCAATCCGGAGTCCATTAACACTATACTGCATTAGCCGGTTAGACCTTGACCTCAGAAATTGAATTAACAAAACAAGTTCAAAAACAGCAGGTAAGAATCGGTAAGAACGAAACTTTTCCTGCTGTAGTACGGGGGAGCAAGAAAAATCAAAGCCCCTGTTGTAGTGAGCGAGACGACGAAGCGCTCATGGCGGTAGTGAAAAGAAAAGAGTACCGACCGACAGACAAGTTTGCTGACTAATTGTGCCTCCTGTTTTTGAGTGTGTTGAAAGGCAGGTACACATCCGTTGCCATTGGATGCTGCCCTCTATGATGCATAACTTCATTGGACAGAGTGGCATCAGAGAGCTTTGTCCCCCTGCTTTAAGCAATTATTGTGTGCTGAAGCACCCTATGGAACAGTGTTTGACACACACACACCCGTTTTGATGTTGCCAATGTGCACATATATATATATATATAGTGGTAAAGCCTCGATCATCCCTTTTTCCAACACACATTCAGGATCAATCGTGGAAATGTGAATATGGCAAATTCAGTTTTGGTTTCTGTCCAGCAATTTGACCATTTTTCTCCGACAAAAAAATCACAACACTGTTCGCCATCGCTACCCTGTGGTTGATCAACACTCCATGGTCCAAAACTGATTTTGGACCATTCAGTTTCCAACACAATTGCTAGCAACCCAAAATATGGTTCTGGACCTTTACTGCACCAGTGAGTCATGCAGCCGTCTATTTGGCCTAAGGTGAGCGGAAGGCGCCTTGGATACCATGTTTGGCCGGGAAACACATCAATGTTTTTCGAAAGGGTCTTTTTTGGAGTCCCATCCCGTGATCCCTTGCAGGTCGACCTGACAACCAGGGGATCAAGTTTGGTTACTTTAAGAACCACATTATTATACATTATATGTTTTGTTTTGAAATGGACCGGTGAACTCCAGTTGGAATGTATATATATTACATATATTACTATACTGTTTCTTTCATCTTATACAAGTGACCTGTTTGAATGGTTAATGTTTTGGGCGCAACATGTTCATTCACCCGGCAAAAAAACCAACGTAAGACAAATTCCAACAACGATTCTCCACGTGACGTTCCGAATAAATTGGAAACAATCAGAGGTCTTCACCTCGGGTTCACATACTCAATGGATGGACTTGTTCATGGTCCACCTGGGCTGGAACCTGCCTCCTGTGTTTTTGTTTGGTCTGTTTTGTTTGGGAAAAAGGAGGCAGATATCATCTAGACACCCCACAAAGAATTTGGAAGTGGCCACATTTGCCTGCACCGGAAGCAAGAAGGACTCAGTTGCAGTTTTAGAGGAGGGAACACATATATGAGCCTTGGTCACCAAAGAAAACGGCCGTAAGGGGTGGGAACAGCATTGTTCATGATGACCAATCGCTACTTCACATTGCAGTAGGACTTTGGAGGCTCTCCCATAGTTGATGAGTGGTTCTTTCCTTGACTTGAGGAGCCAGGAGCTTTAAGTATAGGGCCCATACAAGGAGTATATAAGTGGACTGGTGCCAACAAACCCACCTACTGAGCCTGCCTGTTCGCTTTCTCCACAAGACTAACCTGGTGAGGAAACATCGAGCTGCCGGACTCAGCATCACTATGAGTCGTTTATAATGGATTATACTGTAACCACCAGGTCATGGACTTCATTTTCAGGGTCATGGACTTCATTTTCTCCACGCCATCGAGCGTCACAGGGGCCAACAATTCCTTCGAGCGTCGTTTTGTTGGTCGATCTGACCCTCACTGCGCTGCCAGACGATGGAAAGCAAGCTGCTGTCGGGCATCGAGCGTCGCTGGGATTCAGAAAACCTTCCAATCCTGGCTGCCAGGGTCATCCTATAAATTACGAATTGTTTGCTCTCCAGGTTCTTGGGGAGTTTATTAATCTTCATCGCTGTGCAACAACGGGTCATTCGCAGTTGTGTTTTTCTTATTTTTTTAATAACACGAGATCCTTGTTTGTCGCTAAGACACTCTATTACTCTATTCATCACAATCGGGACTTGCATATTTACATTGGGGTGGTTGAAACGGGATCAATGTAATTAAGCATTCCATACGTACATGGAGTTTGTGGGATCTATCATTCAGAAAGTATTTGTACCGTCGCAGCTTTTGGACACAAGTCCGTTGGAAAGGAAGGCGGAGATCAAGGCAACAGATTGGATTGGGCGTGGAAAGAAGCAACTGCGCAAGTGTCGGGTGGTTGTGAGGTGGGTTGGAGGCTCCTGGGACACAGTACATATGTGGAAGGGTTGGCCCTAAACCATACAGGATGAAGCAACTATATAGCTGTTGGCCATTCCTGAGTTTCCCGACGACCTTTTCTCCATCCAAACCTGGCCGCAAGAAGTTTCAGTGGCAGATGCAGCTCTATCTCACCACTTGCCAGATTGAAACCTGAGGTGCGCAGGAGGTCGTGAGCAGCCGGAACCCGGTAGTGTTCTTCTTGCGTGGCCGCGGACAGCGATTGGTGAACATCCTGCCGCTAGGCTGGAGCTGGTTTAACGGAGCCTTTTGCTGACTGCGCGACTGTGGCGACGAGAAGGTCCCATAAATGCAGACGTTTTAAGAATCAAACTCCCCATTGGGATTTTAAAATTTCCTTCATATATAGGATTTTGTTTTGTAACCAATATATATATATATATATAGTCTCATTAGGGACCGCTACAGGTTGACCCGGGTGTTTTCCCAAGATCCTTGCGTTTCGTCGTTGAATCCTTCGGACGAGTAGGACTGAGCGGTTTCAACATCGCACAGAGCCTCGTCGTGAGTCACTGACCCGGTCCGAGGAGCGAGTCAGATACTGGACATGAACAGGTGTTGCAGTCTTGAGGGACTTTCCTTTCAGAGAGGTCTCCATATCATGATTAGGGTCCGGTCATATATTTATAATGAAGTAAACGTATATTCCAGTCCGGATGGGATCTGAATCTCCACTTGGTCCAACCCCACCACCCCAAATCCACCCCACCAGCATCGCTGGGTCTCGGCACCGACCGAGGACCTTTTTGCAGCCATCGGCTTTGGCCTTGATCGGTCAGCAGGCACCGGACGGTCGGTTCCCGGACGTGACTTCCACCGCTGTTCGAACAGCGGTGGGGAAGGATGGGGAATGTGACCCAATCCAGAATGATGTGCTACCAATTCCATGTTAATAACATGTATTCTTACCACCACTTTGAGTTCAGTTGGGGTATGTTCAGATGTGTATTTGTTCCTTAAAGGTTCCGTTGACGAGGACATGACCTATATGTTAGCCCCTGAAAGTTCGGCGAAGGACTTGTGACTTGATCCTGGAAATTCACGACTTCACTTGCAGAGGAACCCTAAAACTCCAACTATATCCAGAAGGTGGTTAGACGCACCCACCCCAACCACCTTCGAAAGGGAGGGGAGGTAGGTCAGGAGCCCAAAGGGAGGAAATCAGTCCTGTTGGCGCTGAATGTGACTAATGTAACACCGGAAGTCCTTGACCTGGCAAATGACCTCTTCACCCCAGGGTATCGTCCAGTCCAGTCGAATGGTCAAGTTGAGTGAACGTCGTTGATCGTCGACTTCGGTTCATGTTGACTGTTGATGACTAACCCCCCCCCAGATGGAGATGTACACCCTACATTTTACCCAGTCCCAAACTCTTCGTACAAGACCTGGACGCACCTCATCAACGATCAGCCTGAGGCCTGGTCGTACAGGAAGTCCTCCATCTCCATGGAACACTGGGAACGGCCCATCCCCACGTCCCTTCGGCCGTGCGTCGCGCTTCACCGGCGTGCGTCGTCGTCGCGGCGCGCAACTCGCGGGAGAGGGGGGGGGGTCGGCGCTTTGGAGACTTCCACGTCACGAAGTAGAAACGCTCCGATGTGTCAAGGAAAGGTAACGCACATGGCCTGGAAGGTATAGGCATGCTATAGTGGGTTCGGACGCACATGGTGTGTGAGGTCGGACAGTCCTCCGAGTCTTTCGGGGCGCCATGATTCCAGGAAGTGTATGATCTTCTGAACTCGGGAACATGCCATCCACGTAACCATATGATCTGTTCGTCAGAGTGTACCTATGTCTATGATAAAAAAAGCGTTATTGTCTTTAAATAGAACAAAAAAGCTGCCCGGCACCTGAGTTTTGTGGATGCCATGAACAGGTTGAACTAGATCAGTGAAGGATTTGAAGGCCCAAAGATGGTTGTCTCGGAAGGTGCAAAGGGAGTTATGCGGCATGTTCCGGAACTGTCTCTCATTGGTATTCCCTTAGGGATCCAGTTGTACCTTCTCAGAAGGTACTTGGACCCTCTAAACCTACATATCAGTGTCTCCAATCACCTTTAGCGATGTTTTGGATCCTCACTCCACGCAGGAACTTCACGTACATGAATTGTTTGCCCCTGGTCGGCCAATCAGTCAAGTATGAGTGCAGTAGGTAGGATGTCTGATAGGGGGGGTGTTTGTGAATCCCTCCTTTGGGGGTCCTGATCCGAAAACAACTTCAAATTGGTGGATTCGAAGCTTCAAGGATGCTTCTACCAGTGGAGGCCATTTATATCCATTTATAGACACCTCTTGGATGGTCCTGGTATGTCCTGGTATAGATGCCACGATCCGTGAAAGGTGGCTCAGCTCCCGAGTCGAAGTCTTCCTTCACCCTTCAGAATCCGACATGAGCCGAGCTTGAAATGCCCCAGGTTTAGAGAGTCGGTGGAAGGGGTGGAAGGGGTCCAGATGGCTGAAGCTTTCTCCACCCACTTGCTGAAGCTTTCTCCAAGGTGCTTTCCGATCACCAGCATTTGCCCTGCGGGCGGCTACCGCCGGCGGCAGAACCTGCATCGATGGCTGGCCACCAGGCGTCCGCCCTGAGCGCTGCCGTGCTTGGGGGGAGCCCAGGAAGGCCGTGGCTTGAAGAGAGGTCAATTAAGTCGTTTTATGATCGTCCCAGTTCGGCTCCAGGGTCGGCTGCAAGCCCCATCTTCATCCATTTTTTTCTACTTAGGGATCTCCAGAGAAAACACCCTGAAAGAAGGTCCAGGTAGATTGCCCGTGGAGTGTTTGAGTTTGGGGTGTGGCTGTCACTAGTAACGAATCGCCACTTGCCTTTTGTCGTGTGCCAAAATGAACGAATACAGCTGATGGCGAGTTCGCACGGAAGCACATGGATCTTCCTCAACGAGACTGAGACTGCGTTCCGAACCGCTCACCGAACGGTTCCACCAATCACCGTGTCGAAGAGGTGTCGTTCAGAGGGGCATGTCTTACTGCCATAGAGTCCCAAGGCTTGATGATGTCTAACTGCCATAGTGTCCCAAGGCTTGATGATGTCTTACTCC